ACCCCAGGCGAGGGCGGCTCTGTCTCGGGCTTCCGGGAGTCAGCCGCTGGTCAATTTCAGCAGTGGCTGAATCCAGGACAGCTGGGGTGCTGCTGGGTTGGTCCCGCAGCCCCGAGGGGCAGCGCTACTGGACCTACCCGGCAGCACTCCAGCTGTTCTGCTCCCTGCTTCCCGGATTCAGCCCTGGTCAGTTTTAGCAGCGGCTGAATCGGGGAAGCCGGAGGCAGAGCAGCTCCAATGGTCCGGCTGCCCGGGGCACTTCCGGGGTCCAGATGGTGCTGGATCATCAGGAGTGCTGGATCATTGGATGCCGGACCAATGGAGTTTTACTGTATTAAGAAAAACGGTAGGAGGGTGGTGAAGTACTGGAAAAAGTTACCTAAGGAGCTGGAGGAATCTCCATCCCTGGAGGTTTTTAAGGCCAGGCTTGTCAAAGTTCTGACGGGGGTGATTTTTGGGGGCTCAATTGGATTAGAGGCCTCCTGCGACGTCTTCTTGAAATGGACTTCTTGAAACGTGTAAGTGTTTTCTTTTATTTACTTGGGTGGTGGCAGCAAGAAATCAGCTTTGGGGGTTTTTTTGGATCTCAGGGGGACTGAGATTGGACAGATTTGTCTCTGGGAGTCACCGAGAGCTTTAGCAGAGCTGAATCCTCATCTGTGCACTCGGAAGCTATGTCTACACTGCACCTCTCTTGCGGTAAAACATGCAAATGAAGCTAAGTGGAGCAAAGTGCTCCACTTAGGAAGGAACAATCAGTTCCATACATACAAGATGGGAAGCGACTGTCTAGGAAGGAGCATGGTGGAAAGGGATCTAGGGGTCCTAGTGGACCACAAGTTGAATATGAGTCAACAGTGTGATGCTGTTGCAAAAAAAGCAAATATGATTCTAGGTTATATCAACAGGTGTGTTGTAAGCAAAACTCGTGAAGTCATTCTACCGCTCTACTGTGCACTAGTTAGGCCTCAGCTGGAGTACTGTGTCCAGTTCTGGGCGCCACATTTCAAGAAAGATGTGGAGAAATTGGAAAGGGTACAGAGAAGAGCGACAAGAATGATTAAAGGTCACAAGGAGGAAGGTGAAAATTTGTTCCTCTTGGTTTCTGAGGACAGGACATGGAGTAATGGGCTTAAAGTGCAGCAGGGGAGGTTTAGATTGGACATTAGGAAAAAATTCCTAACTGTCAGGGTGGTCAAATATTGGAATAAATTGCCAAGGGAGGTGGTGGAATCTCCCTCTCTGGAGATATTTAAGAACAGGTTAGATAGACATCTGTCAGGGATGGTGTAGACGGAGCTTGGTCCTGCCTTGAGGGCGGGGGGCTGGACTCGATGACCTCTCGAGGTCCCTTCCAGTCCTATGATTCTATGATATTGCTGTGCTTCATTTGCATCATTAATGAGGCTCCGTTTTTGCACGAGAAGCTTTTGCACAAAGGAGCTGTCTACACGGCTCCTTTTTGCACAAAACCCTCCTCTTGCGCAAGAGCCGTTCTTCCTGGAAAAAATGCTGGGGCAGCTTTTTAGTTTTCCCCAGCCAAGACCCTGAGCTGAGATCCCTGCCCTGCCCCCCTCTGAGCAGCAGTCAGATACTAAACCTCTTCAGGTCCAAGGAGAGTGCAGGACCCAGATTCTTGGGATACCCCTTTGGGAAGAGGTAAGTCCCATTTAGCAATGAAATTTATGTCTATCAGTCTATTTCATAAAGCAGGGGGAGTGAAACAGCAGGGAACCTTTTCAGGCTCGAAAGCAGAAAATAAATAACTTTACCCCTTTCTTTCTGAAGTGGCTGAACCTGGTCTCCTTCCTTGGCTGTGTTGATTACAAAAGTTCTCTGTGTCATCTCACTAAAACAAAAACAGAAAAAAAACCCCAAGTTCCCATGAACAAACTATCTGGCGTAGCCCAGCAGCAACTGCACCCAGAGATGGAACCAGGGCTGTGAGATAGGACTGGTCACACCGTATCCCAAATTCATTGGGATTTCCCTGCTCACGCTCAGACCAGGGACACTTTCTCCTGCAGCCCTCAGGACCACAGAAATCACTGGATCCCTGTGCATGGAGAGCCCAGGCCGCTGTGGGGAGTGACCCTGGGGGAGGTGCCGCAGTACAACGGGAGAGGATAAAACTCTCCATGGCAGGGACAGATTCCTGTGTCTAGGGTGGAGGGTGATGGGGAAGGAGGGAATCTCAGACTCTTCCATCCCGCTCCAGTGGCACTGGAGGGAAAACATGTTTCACTGTCCGAGCATGTAGTGGATGAACAATAAAGGCTTTTCAGTATGGCCTGGAGTCAGGTGAGTGTCTAGGAAGCAGCCAGTCCAACCCCAGAGGGCACACAGGCTGTGTCTACACTGGCACCTTTTTCCGGAAATGCTTAAAACGGAACAGTTTTCCGTTATAAGTATTTCTGGAAAAAGTGCGTCTACATTGGCAGGATGCTTTTCCGGAAAAGCCCTTTTTCCGAAAAAGTGTCTGTGGCCAATGTAGACACGCTTTTCCGGAAAAAAAGCCCCGATCGTCATTTTCGCGATCGGGGCTTTTTTGCGGAAAAGACTACTGTGCTGTCTACACTGGCCCTTTTCTGGAACAGTTTTCCGGAAAAGGACTTTTGCCTGAGCGGGAGCAGCATAGTTTTTCCGGAAAAGCAGCTGATTTCTTACAGTAAATCGTCACTGCTTTTCCGGAAATTCAAGGGGCCAATGTAGACAGCTCGCAGCTTATTCTGGAAAAGCGGCTGATTTTCCGGAATACGTGGCCAAATGTAGACACAGCCTCAGAGACTAGCCATCACTCTCTAATGCGGGGAGCAGGATACTCCAGCTGCTCAGGGGCAGGTTACACTAGCAAATCTGGTGGAGGGTCCCAAGGATGTGCTGGCCAATCCCCACCAGATTTCCTGCCACAGAGAGACCCTATGAGGCAGAGGCTGCAGAAGCAGAGGTGGGGTCTCTGGGCCTCCCACAAAAGGCCCTGTGGGAATCGCCCCTCTCCTTGGGGCTGTCAGACTGCAGGAGGGCAGGGCGAAGGCAGAGAGGCAGTGAATGGTCAGAGGCAGCATCTCTCCTCCACAGCTGTCCCTGCCTTCGTATCCCCTGTTCCTCAAACACTCAATACCCCAGCACCCAGCTCCACCAGCTGCAGCTGCTGCCTCCCTAGGCAGGGCCTGTCACTCTGCAGGGAGCTGTTCTGTACCCGCTGCCCATCGTGCACTTACCAGGGCAGGTGTGGATACAAATGTTGTATCTGCATGGGGCTCTGAGGGTAAGAACCCAACTGGCAGCTCAAGCCCTGCTTGGGGCCCTTTCCCAGGATGGATGAAGGGCCAATTGCTACCCCACAGCTGCCCGCTTGGCTCTTGCAATGACCACTGTGGCTCTGAGCCTCCCTGTGGAGAGAGCAGGGTCTGAGAGAGCCACACCGACAGCTGCCTCCCCGCCCTGACTTGCCCAGGTCTGGGGCAGAGCCCTGCAATTCTGCACCGATCTGCAGAGCTATTTTTTGACAGCAGACACAAGTTTTTATACCTGCGCAGAGCTCTAGCTCATTTCCTTCACCAAACATCCTCCTGGCCCCTCGGTGTTTGGTCTCTCAGATTCCAGCATCCCTGTGGGATGAGAGGGGGGACTTAGCAGCGTTTCTGCACACAGCCCTTCC